TCTCATGTCCATTGCGTGCATCAACATGTCACACACATTATATGCATCAATATCCCATGAAAATCAAAAAAAGCTTAGAAAGAACTTCAGTATGCTGAGAGTATTAAAGACACATTAAAAATGAATTCAAAATTACTTGAACTTGAGATATTGATGGAAAAACTGAAAACTAATTATGTAAATCAGGTAACTAAAACTCCCAAAAATTATGAATTATTATGCTAATTAGAGAATTAATATGAACAAAACAAGTCATGTATGAGTCCCAGTTAAAATATTACACTTGCTTCAGGTTGTGTGCAGATGTGATGGTTACAGCATTACACTTTGTTTGGTGGTATATATTCAGTGTGTAGTTAAATTGTTTTCTTTTCTTAGACCAATCCATTTTAACCGTCCAAATATACTTCCAATAATGAGGTTATTCTGTATCAGTTAGCTGAACTATATTGCATGTGATTGATGCAGTGATTTGCCTTGAACATATAAACCATGACAGTGCATGCTAGTATAAACACGAGATAATAAAATGATCAGTAAAATATACCTGGAGAACATCAAAATTGATATAACTCAACTGAGAAGCAAACTTTTAACAAGCAGCCTATCGGCTGAGATAGCTCCGCTGTTAGCAATGCACATTTCAATTAAAGAACTGAAGACATGATTAGAAAATGAACAATATGAATAGTATCAAAGCAATCAGACTTACAGTTTTTAACAAGAAGTCGAAAATATCACTTTTTACCAAAAAATTACAAAAATATTCACCAAAATAAATTAATTAGAGAATTGAAGATATCATCACAAAACGAACAAATCTGAGAGAGGTCCACATGTAGTACCTATATATGTAATATCAAAGCAATCGGACTTACAGTTTTCAACAAGAAGTCGAAAATATCACTTTTTACCAAAAATGACAAAAATATTCACCAAAATTAGAGAACTGAAGATATCATCACAAAATGAACAAATCTGAGAAAGGTCTACATGTAGTATCTATATATGTAATATCAAAGCAATTGAACTATTGGTTTTTAACAAGAAGTCGAAAATATCACTTTTTACCAAAAATTACAAAAATATTCACCAAAATTAGAGAATTGAAGATATCATCACAAAATAAACAAATCAGAGAGAGGTCCACATGTAGTACCTATACATGTAATATCAAAGCAATCAGACTTGTGGTTTTTAACAAGAAGTCGAAAATATCACTTTTTACCAAAAATGACAAAAATATTCACCAAAATTAGAGAATTGAAGATATCATCACGAAATGAACAAATCTGAGAGAGGTCCACATGTAGTACCTATATATGTAGTATCAAAGCAATTGGACTTGCGGTTTTTAACAAGAAGTCGAAATTATCACTTTTTACCAAAAATGACAAAAATATTCACCAAAATTAGAGAATTAAAGATATCATTACAAAATGAACAAATCTGAGAGAGGTCCACATGTAGTACTTATATATGTATTATCAAAGCATTTGCACTTGCGGTTTTTAACAAGAAGTCGAAAATATCACTTTTTACCAAAAATGACAAAAATATTCACCAAAATTAGAGAATTGAAGATATCAACATGAAATGAACAAACCTAAGAGAGGTCTACCCAAGGTACATATACACGAAGTATCAAAGCATTCAGGCTTGTAGTTTTCAAGAAGAAGTCGAAAAAGTAAAACATTGACACGGACGACGACGACGACGACGGACAATCACTCATATGATAAGCTCCGCTCGACAAAGTCGACAGCGGAGCTAATAAAAACTGAAATCTGCAAGCAGGATGATGAATCAGTATTCTGTCTATGTGGATACACCTCATCATAAAGTAATTTTCCGTAATCTAATATTTTACTGATAATTGAAGAATTCCATTGATTCATGTCCAGAATCTCTGAGTACACAAGTGCAACAAGACTATTTGTCATACACGTACTTGCTCCAGAGATATCATTCATAAATCTGAGTGACCCCTGATGTTCAGTACCTTTAATAACTCCTTTGACTTGACATGTTAATTCCATTCTTTGTGTATCAAGAGGACCTGGATTTGTTTCTATATCACCACCAAGCAATAGAATCATTCTCGCATTGTACAAATAATATTTCTTAAAAGTATAGTATGGTTTATTGTTTAAAAAGTATTTACTGTACATACAGCAATATTTATTAAGAAACTGTAAATACAGTAAAGCCATATTTTCATGGAAAGTAATAATTCAAGAACACAGTAACAATAATTGTACAGTGATATTTATCAGTGATATTACTAAATTCAAATTACAATGTTTTATAAGATAGATATTACTTTGCTTGAATAATATGCCTCAAGGGGGCAGTATTGTAAATGAGCCACCAGGGGGCAGTATTGTAAATGAGCCACCAGGGGGCAGTATTGTAAATGAGCCACCAGGGGGC